GACACCATCTAAATAAAAATTGATTGATTGATATAACAGTCGAGATGCATTTAAAATCCTCCCCACATGGAAAGTAAAACAAACATTACAGTAAAATGTTCAAACCTGGCCTGCATGGTGTAAAGTTTCATCTTTTGGCCTTTTGTAACTTTCAGCTTTCTTGGTGAATTTTGTGCATTTTTAAATATCTCCCATTCTCATCAGATGTATATAAAGTGCATAAGAAATGGAAAAGTAAAAATATGAATGATAAACTGCCAGAATAAGATGTATAGGAAAGCAAACAAAGGGGCACAACTCTTCAAGTTCGTAAAAATTCAGCCCTGAATTTCTGCTATTTTTAGGATGCTTCTACACCAAAATAACTTTGGCTACTTCAACTTCAACTTCTGACATGTCAATGACCCTTGACGAGACTTATTTAGCTGTCAAAAGTCAGAACAAAAAATACTGCAGTACAATTTTATGTCAATTTATGTATTAGTGGATTTGAACACCACTGTAAATATGAATGTTAAACAGAAATATTTTAACATTTAAGCGAACACATATATTTTTTGTACAATCCTTTTAATCACAGGTTTAGGGAATGAAGGGTTTAAATGGTGTTTGTTGATGTTAAGTGGATCGAAGAAATACATGTATAACCTTGTTTTCAAACACAGTATTCTAAAAGATGTGATTAAGGTTTCAGACTCTTTACGGTTATCAACATCTTTTGAGGAAACTCCATGTATTGTAGCAGAAATATTTCAACAAATTATATAAAGTGTAGTGCAGTGGACATAGTTGTGTTTGTAAAACTTTAGAACGAATGATAAACACAAGACTGGTTTGGTTTCTTGAGGCCAACGATATAATATCCCCTCTTCAAAGTGGTTTTAGAAACACAAGAGGGACAAATGACCATCTCATCAGATTAGAGACATTCATTCGAGAGGCTTTCGCCAAGAAGGAACACCTTGTCGCCGTGTTCTTTGATCTTGAGAAGGTCTTTGATACTACATGGCAGTATGGCACCATGAAAGATCTTTACGACCTTGGCGTACGTGGAAACCTTCACAATTTTATATCTAATTACCTGTCAGATAGACATTTCAAAGTCCGTGTTGGTTCAACTTTTTCTGAAACGTCTAAACAGGAAATGGGAGTCCGACAGGGTGGAATCCTTTTTGGTCTTAAAATCAACGATATAGTCAAATGTCTTGGTCAATCAAAAGAAGGGTGGTTATTTGTGGATGACCTCTTGATCTGTTACAGATCTAAGAACATGCACACGATAGAACGACAACTTCAACAGAGTTTAAACAAACTACAAAATTGGGCAGACGAAAACGGCTTCAAATTCTCTAAATCTAAAACTGTGTACATGCATTTTTGTCAAAAACGAAAAGCACACAATGACCCAATCCTTACACTCGATGGCACTAGAATTCCTGTTGTTGAACAGACTCGGCCTCATTTTTGATTCAAAACTATCTTTCATACCACATATAAAGAAAAAAATTACAGTTTGCAGCTCAATTAAAATCAAACCCCAAAAATCTTTCTTTCGACCAAGAATTCAACCAAAACATATTTACGCAAAACCAAAAACTTCTGCCAACATTTGGTATCCGAATTTCAAATTTCCTGCAAGAACTCAACATAAAGTTGACTGACATAGCTGAATTTAACATATCTGATGTTCCTCCGTGGACCATTCAAACACCTGATTTTAACTTTACATTACATGAGCGAGGGAAATCAAGTGGTATGCCCGAAGAACACAAATCCTCCTTTCGGGAATGCATTTCGAATTACCCTTCTCATACACAACTTTACACCGATGGTTCCAAAGAAGGTGAGAAAGTAGCAGCAGCCTGATGTACTGCTAATTCTTGCACTTCAGTTCGATACCAGACGGCGCCTCCATCTTTTCTGCCGAAGCATGCGCCATTGGTTTGGCCCTCGACCATATCGATGAACACCGCCTTAAAAAAGCAATCATCTGTTCAGACTCTCTCTCTCTATCCTACAGAGTTTAGTTACTAGATCCTAAAAACACACTCGTACAAACCCTTGCTCTTCGAATATCTCGTATCTTAAAAAAGTATAAAATAACTTTACTATGGGCTTCGAGCCATGTCGGAATTAAAGGCAACGAATGTGTTGACAGGGAAGCAAAAAATGCATTAAATCTCCAACAAACAAATATCAAACTACCACACACAGATTTTAAACCTACAATTCGTACAGCCATTCAAAATGAATGGCAGCAACGCTGGTCTCGAGAGACCACCAACAAACTTTTTAAGGTACAACCGAAACTTAAAACATCTATTCCCAGCTGGAAAGATCGTAGAGAGGAAGTTGTCCTCGCTCGGCTCCGTACCGGGCACACATATCCTACTCATTCGTACCTTTTAAAACGAGAAGATCTACCTTCATTTCACGCATGTGACACTCTATTTACAGTGGAACATTTTTTAATAGAATGTTCCGATTTTTAACACATTCGTGATAACTACTTTCAAGTCCCGGATATTTAAACTCTTTTCAGTTCCGTGGAGTCGAAGGCATTATTTAACTATTTGAAAGACATCGGTCTATTCTATAGACTCTGATGTCTTTAGCCCACCTTGCCCTTTTTGACGTTATATATATATCACATATTCCATATCATCTATTCGTTATCTCTTTTAATTATTTTAACCCCCTTTTTTATTTTTAATTATCTACACATACAATGCGAATGCTTTTAAAATGAAGCATTTTATCCGATATAATTTTCGCTACTAACATGTTTGTTAAAAAAAAAAAGAAAAGCCATGGCCCTAAATGACCACAGCCGTCGATGGGCCGTTAAACATAAACAAACAAACAAACAAACCGTTTACAGATCATAAACACTGTTTCATGTTTAGCGGAGTTATTTTTCTTTCACACATGTTGTTAGTCATATTCTTAACTTTTTATTCCACCTCTGAAATCCCGTAAATCGGGCTCCATATGCAATACATCTTGATTTTATTATATTATCATTTTAAGCATTTATTTTGCTGCCTTTCTTCGGGTTTTTTAAGTTAAACTCATTTAAGTATTATTCTTCAGTCCGTTCATAATGTTTTCCTTTAATTCCTTTATTTATAATTCTAACCATCATGTTATAGTCTAGCTAACTATCCTGGCCAGCGGGTTTAGGTACCAACTGAGAAAAATATTGAGGTATGACTGTGTTCTCCCAGGGCCAGGGTTCAGACAGAACCTGTCGAAAAGTCAGTATAGATACCTACATATTTATTATCAATAAAGAAAGAACATATACATCTATATCTTTGTTAATACCAATGGTACACTTATGGGATCGTACAACGTTACACGATGTGTCGTGTGCGCACGGTGTGCGAACGATTAAAGATCTGGACGATTATTGCTTGCGCGCATTGTTCGCACGATGGACGAACGTTGTGCGATAACAATCGTTGTGGTGTAAAGTGAGGAATGGCCCATCAATATGCACGGTTTATTATTCAAACATATAAAGTTGATTTCTTTGGAATGTTACTTTTCTCTTACTGCTTGTATAAGCTTATTTTTCTATCTTTATTTTCTTAAATTTAGAAATAGTGTTTATAGTCTTTTACACGACACATGTTAAATTACAACACATATAGACACGGTCCCATATACAGGTAAACAAAGCCAATCTGTTAATGTTCCTTGACCGTATTTTTATTCACTCATCGAGGTGTGAAAATCCAGGTAAAGGGAAGTTTTAGACCAATTCGAATGCAATCAACAAATAACGTCCAGTTGTATTTCATAACGCTCAAACAGTATCACATATCAACATTCTATGTCACGTAAAACTCCGATTACTCATCTATTTTTTTTTACCTGTTCTGTTACCTTGGAGCCAACCAATTATTGACAGTCCATCGGTCACTGTAATACTGTGTAGAACGCATTGTAAATTTGAACATGATCTAAATTTGTGTTATAAGAAATCAATTATGAACAGTTTACCTTATTTGTTACGCGACTTCCGTTAAATTGATCAACCAGTTGTACCAAATCGTACATTTTTCCGTAGAGAAGCGCACAATTTGGCACAGTTTAATGCACCATGTGTGAACGGTGTGCGCACGATGTATACACGATGTGAGCGCATTATGTTTTGTGCGTGGTGCGGTCACACATATCTGTACCTATCATTAATGAAAAATTTCATATATGCAATACATAGTATTTTTCTTATTCACCATAGTTATTTACATGCATGAGCATTCAATTTTTTTCAAACTGAATAGGAATTTGTATACACTATCGTGTGTTTATTGATATAATAAAACATTCCTTATCAATAAAGACTTATGTACTAAATGATTAAACACCAGCGAATATTAAAATAAAGAGAATTGTACACTGTCGTTATCATGTCTAGGTTACAAGCTTGAAAACTACAGCGCACTGGAATTTACATTTCTTTTTAACTTCAGTTAACAAGTTAACTTTTCTCTCAACTGTACCTGTATTATTAACAGTTGTTCAGAAGATTTGTGTAATACATCCTCCATCCTACTTGTTGGGATTTTATCCATTTGGAAAGTAAGTATCCTCTTTAAAAGGAAACGTTTAGTAATAATTCAAAAAACTTAACAGCTTCGTAAGTAGTATACGATTTTGACGTCACAATCTGTGACGTCATAGTTACATATACCATGAAATACGAAATAAAACAGGGGATGATATTGTTACATAACTTATGAAACCATGTAATTGCCATTGCAGTATAATGATACATCTCTTTATACAGTATCACAGTTCACTATTCAGGTTAAAGGCAGGTTATATGAATCAATGTTACCCGTTCAAAATGTGTATGGTAAATCACGTTTCAAATCTTATCTTTAAAAAAAAACATTTTTAAAGATAGATGTTTGTCATACGTCATGACATCCTGGTATAATCACAAACTCTTGTTTTTCAAAACACAAAATATATTTTTTGATTTTCAGATATGCCATCTGTCATGACACGTAGTGAAAGGTATGCTGCTGAAATAGGAGGCCAGGTGACTCTGGAGTGTTTTACTTATGCGGTCCGTGTGTTACCATTGACTGTTTCCTGGCAACATACTTCATCTGATGGACAAACTAAAGAACTGAATAAAGACAATCAAAAGTACATATATGAAGATCGAATATTCAATCTTTTAGGCAATAACTTAGTAATCAAAGACATTACTAAAGATGATGAAGGCCAATATAAATGTACCGTCTCAAATTTCTGGGGAAGTGACAGTGCATCAACTAACCTGACAGTGAAAGAAGGTAAGAGCTTACATCAAGTAGTTGTTTTGAATTTTCTTTCTCGTTCATTGCAGACTTAAAGTGAAAAATAAAGTGACTTTATAGAACAAAAGTATAGTAAACCCATAAAATGAGAAACAGTGACATTTGCTCCTTTTGGCTAAAAATGACACAAGATAACAGACCAGGCTTCTACAAGTTTCCTTCATTGTTTTTAAGTAGGGTATAAGTAAGAAAAAAATCATCACCATTTGTGACGTTTAAATTGACACCAACTAAACTTGAAAAAGAAATTGGCGTTTGCAGTTTGTTTTAGTTAACGCAAAAGGTAATTTGATCGTAGTGAAATCTAAGGCCATATCCATATTCATATTAAATCGGAAAAACATTTGTCGTCCTTGCTCTAAAATTTTCCATCAGTTTACCTCTGAATCCACCTCTTACATCCAGCTTCATGAATGAACAATTCGAATGTTTTTTTCTGCCTTGAAATTTTCGGATATATAACATATATAACATCTGCATTAGCTTATATATCACCGGACTAAACTCGCTGTATAGAAAATCCCATCCAGCTAATTTCAGAAATGATATCGTTGGGATTTATTTTTGGAGTATGATAAAAAAAAAAGGATGAGATCTTATATTTTGCATGGAATCATATGTATTACTTCTAAATATTAAATTTAAAAAAAACCACTATCAATCTATGAAATTTGTTTGATATCCGTTTGCAGTACGACAATAAGAAACATAAAAATCATTATACACTATCTTTGATACCTCTTGCATTGACAACATATCTAAAATATAAATGTATTGATTTTGATTGAAATAAAAAACTTGTCAAAGTTTCAATTCCAGAAATGTTCTTCTAAATGTTATATCATGCACTTAATTGTTACATTAGGTCCTCCTGTAGTGCAAATGAAACAAACATCATCATCTACAGAAGGGGAAAATGTGCATCTGAAATGTACTGTCAAAGCTACATCACCAGTATCCAGTATCAAATGGATGAAAGAAGAAAGAGAAATTGAAATTACCGATGATTAATACGTCGGTGGTTCAGTGACTCGTCCTTCGATAGTTATCATCAACGCCGAAAAAGAACATGACGAAGGCAAATACACTTGTTTGGCAGAAAAAATTGCAGGAAAAAGCAGCCAATCAGTGGTCTTGACCATAAAAAGCATAGAGGTGGAACCAAGGACTGAAGCCCGTAAGTTATTTTATTGTTCTAAATGATGCCACAACTAGTTTACTAACGGACATATCAAATGAAAAATGGTCTTAGTGATGTTGAAGTTTCGGAAGACAAACAAGTATGTCATGAAGAGTTTAAAACAGCATGCGCATACGTTTGGGCGTTCTAAATACAATACATTGTCGTTGGATTTTCTAATAAACTTCAAAATAAAAAATTTAAAAAACAAGAAACAACTGGACTAAGGAGACAGATTAACATACTTTTACCAATGACAATGATTTTTTTTCCGTAGTCATAACATGGAGACAGGCAGGGATCCCACACCTTGCTATATAAGTTTGTATAATTTGTTTTGTTAAATGTAGACATGGACAGAAGATACAGACTTGCTACTACGATGTGGCTCAATTAAGTGTTTATATACTAGAAAAGTGAAAATACGAATGACCTCCGAACTCTCTACGAACAAGAACGCTCTAACCTATTGAGCTACCAGGTGACCAGTGCTTGTCCCAATCCAGTTACATTTGTTCACCTTATAAAAAATATTCGACGACGATGACACACGAGAACCAGTAGGTATATTTTATTTGGCGCTAAATCTAAAAGGAAATGGACACAATTTTAAACCTGAACTTCCCAACGCTAAACGGAGAAGGAAATTTGAAAATACGATAATACTGTTCAGCGGTATGATTCAATCTCAACAGAATCGTTTAAAACTTTTTAGCTTGAAACATTAGTTTTTCAGTTATTTGGCAAATAGGACAATTTGCCTGAAATCATAACAAATCAGAAACATAGATATTGTCGCTGATGTATATATTTGAATGAGGTGACTAGTACGCTGCAGTCAACCGAAACAGGTACCGTTTTGTTTATAATGTCGTCAATATTGGTTCAGTTGTATGTTAATTTCAGTTGATTAAAACAAATATTCTGATTATGGTAATATGTTTTGGTCTGACCTAACATCGACTTATATAGGTTTGCGGTGTTTTTTTCTTTTTTTCGTCGCGTTTATGAACTCGTACTCATATGCATTTCCGCGTTATTACTTAAAAACACTCACTGAAAACAAATGAAAAAGATTTTATCATTAAAATAAAATACGTCACTACCACAGTAGAAGAATGCTTCTTCGTATTTTGAGATTATGTTACATGTAAATTATAGCTCATATCACCAACAAATGTTATTTTTTGCCTCTATAGACGGCACGGGGACAGTGTTTATCTTAAGGATAAGTTATATTCATAACTGCCTGAATGTTAGTCAACTGTTCAGTTCAAAAATCAAAATTTAAAAATTTGAATATCTTTTCAGGTCAATACGAACCCATCCCAAAAACAGCAACTCAGGAAGACATTATATTCAGACACGCTATAATGGTGAACGATTTATCTGAATTAATTCCCCCAGAGGAAGAGATGATTTGGAAAAAATTCCAACAATTGTTACAAGCATTTGTGCCCAAAAGACAACTTACAAAGAACTTACATGACATCATACAGTACCTCATAGAACAGGAACAGATTAGTTACGGGCATTACGACAAGTTGTATAAAGTTGTTTACAGAATACATAAACAGGGATCACACATCATTCAGAAGGCAGAATCTGACATAAAAGTCATAAGAGAAGGAGGTAAACATCATATGTTTTGCTATTATATTCTATATATTTTGTTTTTTAATGGTTTAACAAATTTATAAAAATTTGAGATTTATTTCAAAGGGAATGTCGTCTATAGAATAAATATTGAGTGTTTCATTGATTAAACCATTGTTACGTTTATACAATGACATAATGTGGGGGTTAAATAAGATTAGTTGTGAACTAAAATGTTACTTTGTTGACCTTGTGTTAAAATTATCTTATACATACATGTATATGTTAAATTTACACTTTTATCATAATTAACATTGTTTTTTTTATGTTGAAGGAGTGCCAAACGAAAAACCTATCGAGCTGGAATGTGAATATTTGGGTAAATACAAATCAGAAGAACAAGTACAGCTCTATATCCGTCAAATCGAAGCCAATTTCCATGACATCAATTTGAGAATAAAAGGAAGAGGACGGCCAGGTAACCAACAAAGTTCGTGGAGCGAACCATTCTTCGTACTTTCACTTCGATATCCTTCACTTTGAACATAAAATGATCGGGAGTGTTTAGTCAGTGGCGACATTGTTCTAATGTTCCGACTCAGTGGTAGTAATATACTGTGTAACAGTACAATCAAGAAGATATATCGTTGCGTAATATAGTTATTACATTAGCATTATATTTTTGCTTCGAATTTATTTATACTCTCAGCCTCACGTAATGGATAACATTTATGCATTAATTATTTCTAAGTATATTATACTAGTAAGTGCAGTAAATAGATTTATTCCATGGTTTATATATACAGTTCTGCAAATATCACACTCAAAATTCTGCTTTACTCTTCAGGTTCAATTCGCCTTACGTTTACAATCAGCGAAGCGAAGAAGCCACACGAACTACTTGCATTGTACCTGGCGGAGACTCTAAAGACCAGACTAGAAAACAGACAGATTGAACTGAAGGATGAGTCAGACGTGCCGTTAGTACTGAAGACTTCACCGAGACTAATGATACCCATGAAAGGTTCGTGAATTTCTTGAATGACAATGAACAAGTCTTACGAGTGAGACACATTAATTTAACACTGTGCTATCATTTCGCCAACGAAACGCATTTACCGAAATAAAGTTAATCATTAAACGTAGTTCTCTTTGTGACTTTTATGTCATATTCCTTTAAAAAATGGTATTTTCTTGTTTTTTTCTTTCAATAGTTATGTTTCACGAGTGTGTGACAAACATGAAAATTATTGAATCAACCGTCTTGTTTACTGGTATCGTTTTCTTGACACCGTTACAGATATATTTTGTTCCGTTTCAGATAAACCAACAGTACGTTTAAGTAAAGGACATTACCGATATGCTGAAGGAGAAACTGCAACTGTACAATGTGTTGCGGTCTCCGCACTGGAAATCGAATATATCCAGTGGTTCAGAGTACAGGATGGAAAAACCCAAGAAATCATTATAAACAACGACAAATATGTTGGTGGACCAAAATCACCATCGCTTTCTATCAGTGATGCAAAGAAAGCTGACACAGGAATATATTTATGTAGGGCCGGAAACAGGGCAGGTGAAGCTATAAGCAATACGGCGTTTGTCGATATATTCAGCTTTGGTGAGTTGGAAAGTCTCTTATTTATTTCTCATAAAGAATATATAATCGGTATGATAGCCTGTAAAAGTATGTCGGCTCCATGTTTGTTTAATTGAACTATTGCAATCTGTTTTTCTTCCATTTTCGTCCATTTTCCGTCTAGCATATGTTAACTTCTTAATATCACATTGATGGGTTGCATTAACCTTGCAAGGATCACCCCTTAAGATTTAGGTAGATCGCATAAACCTGTCTGAATTAAGTCGAGGACACTTTAGACCATTCCTTATCAATCGCTAACATGTATCCTGTGTCACATGTTTGTTAAAAAAAAAAAATCACCATGGCCCTAAATGACCACAGCCGTCGATGGGCCGTTAAACATAAACAAACAAATGTATTCTGTGATTTTTATCTAAAAGTGATTGTCAACAAATAAACCTGTTTTATTTATTGATCAATATCCAAAACATAAACAGACAATGATTGAATAATTATTATTCACAAAATATTTATTTCTAAATTGAAATTATCTCCCCTATTAGAATTTTATGGCAGCATATATGTAAGTTTAGAGAGAACTTAAATAGGCCTAGTCCAATGCAAGTGACATATACAAGTCAATAGGAATTGTTGATATTGAAATTGAAAACAACCGCTCACCTCTATGTTTCAACATAACCAACAGAAACACCTTTCAATTAAGCTGTATGGTATACGTGACGATTTCAATTTCACGACTTCCCTAACGTGAACGCATTATTCCTGTCTTACCGTCTACGATTTTTACATGTCACCAATTGTTCTATATTTACAACCTTGTTACTAGTATTATTATTTCCATAATTCACTACTAATGAATAAATCGACTACAGAGGGGTTCAAGAGGTACAGGTAAATGACAAACGTGAGTTGTGCACTCCTTGTGATCGCCATCATGGGCTCATTTTGGGTTTATTTATGTCGAGATTTAGTTTTTATTTATCATTTTCTCACTATGCTTTAGAGAGTGTCTTGTTGTTTCGTTGCTACTTCCCTAATTCTCTGGACCTGACTTGGGTTCGAAACAGATTGATAGGGCGGTGTTCTTGAAACTAGCAGAACATCTGATCGTGTTCTTGTTGTATCTATCCAAAGTTCTCCTTGTAAATATGTCCTTTATTTTTATTTAAATTTTATGTAAATCATTGGAAACAATGGTGATGTACGGTTTTATTACCTTTGGATTTTTTTTGATTTTTCTACATTGGAATCTTGCATGTTTAAACAATGGCAAAGGGGGATGTGCTGTATATCTTGAAGCAAAATGTTTTGAATCTTGTTATTTGTAACGTAGAATGATGTGATGAAGAGCAATCAAGTTTGTTCAAATGAATAGTATTGACCTTATTTCACGGTAACATAGATCGAATTAATAAAAATATTTTAATTAACTCATTAAGAGCAGGACAAATAAGGGTTGTATACGATTTTGGTAGAAGACCAAGATTGTTCAAGTGGTTTCTTCTAAAGTTCATAAAATCCTTAGCAGGAGTTATATTTTTATTATTATTGACTTTAATGTTTATTGGATTCATTCTAAATCAGGCATAGATTAATGACATCATTTTTCATCAAATATACTTTAGAATAAATGAAATCCTTTTTATGGGTATTATTGGTAAAATGCAGGCAAGTTTTCTAACTTCTGCTAATTCCGGTGATCCTGGGGGTTAATATGTTTGGCACAGCTTATCCAAATAAATGGCCTTGACCAATTCTTTTTGTTGATTGGAGTTAATATCAGAGTTATGGTTACTAAGTGTAAAACATCGAATGCGGGTACCCTATAGTAATCAGCTTGTCCGTCTGTTCATGTTGCTTTTCGCACAGTTTCTTGCGTATTTGCACTTTGATGTTTAACTTTGGTGTTTGGCGGACTTGCATGGATTTGATAGTTAGCGAAGAGTATTAAATGTATGACGTTGAATGCCAATTATTACGATTTTTTTTCGCGCAAATTAAATGAGGCTGATGTGTTCTGTTTGGCTGATTCCTTTCCGTGCGACGTATTTTGAAGGAACGATTGGATTTTTACGAGACTTACCTGATATACTTATTACCGCAATCTCTCGCTTGGCTTTGAAAGATAGATATCAATTTTCATAAATATTATTGTTGATTTTGGAGTTTTAACCTTCAAGATAACTACTTTAAAATGATATTCAAGCATAGACGGTAACTTCCGTGCAGTAGCGTCAAGGCATGGCCTTTCCTATACATTGATCTTGTTGTTATTGTATGTGTGTTTTTTATATTTCTTAGATCCTGACGTTGGTTGTGAACCTACACCCGGTGATAGTGCGTCTGGACACATGCAGTTCTATCAACGCAAATGTCATATGATCGGTTCTCCCTTTTTCTCTCATCATGGGTTTTACTTAGATGAATATAAGAGCGGCATCGGCTGCTATATTAAGGCAGTGGATAGGGATTCACCTGCGGAGACAGTGGGTCTGAAGGCTGGTGACAGAATCATGGAAATAAATGATCACCCCGTCGAATACGGCTCCCGTCAGGAGCTCATCCGTGAAATAAAACATGGAGAGGAGACCAGCTTATTAGTGGTGGATCCAGAAACCGAAAAGTTCATGGGAATTGGTTGTTCGACGAATATCATTAATGTTACGTTATCTTGTAAGTGAATAAAACTACCGCACGTGTCGTATTTACATATTACCTATTTGCTAATATTTAACAAAACAGTTGCTCATTTACTTCTTGATTATCATACTTTTTTGACAAATTAGTGTTGCTTGTAACTATGCATGTTAAGTAAGTTATATTGTAAGTCTGTTCAAACGTTTTTTCAGTTTACAGAAAAGCCTTAACCATTATGTATTAGGGGTAAGATCTATTGTCGTTTTGCTTTTGCGGAAAAGTGCCAAATAGAACCGAGGAGTCACGAAGGGTATAAGAAAATTTGAAGGCCTCTGGGCTTTTTGTTTTATTCAGAATTGATGTAATATCTTCCTTAAAAGAATAATTAAAATAGTATTAAAGTTGGGTGTCGGTTTTGGCGATCTGATTGTTATTTCCAAAATGTTATTTATATCAGATTACTTTGCATTTAATATATTTCTTAGACCTCCACCTGTTTCGGCCTCGCCTATGTCACATCAAGGGCATCTGCGGTTTTGACTTAGACGAACATAGGGTAGACGATGGCCACTATATTAAAACAGTAGATGCAGTTACCTTTGCAAATCAACCAGGTCTTCTAGCTGGTGACAGAATCGTGGAAGTGAATGGTATTAACATCGAGTACGACTCCCATCAGGAGGTCATCCGTAGAATGAAAACTGGATGCTATAGTAAACTGTTGGTGGTGGATCCAAAAACCGACGAGTACTACAAGTCTCGGGGTGTTGAGATCCATAGTGGTCTGAAGGAGGTCTATGATTTACGCGTTTGCCGTAAGTATTAAGCACTGCCACACTTGCCGTTTATGAATTACTGTGCCATTTTTATTTTTTTATTTTACGTTTGTGTAAAGTGTACCGTAAATTGTTCATAAATTGATATTTAACCGTACAAAAAAGACGTATCATCCATGTATTAGGGATCAGTTATATTTAAGATTTTTGGAAAATTCTCAATAGAGCAACACCCACAATGCATGGCTACCATCGGTAACAGGAAAATCTTCTTCAACATTTCTTAAGAAAATCTTATTATGTGTGTTTTTTATATTGAGTGATTGATTGATTGAGTGATTGATTGATTGGAGATGTATAAAACACATAATGGCAACTTACGCAGATATCGCAAAGGCACGCATGACAGTATTGCTATCTGATATGCGTCCCGAGATTTGGGCGGCAGATGCTCATATAGGGTTTCTGAATATTTGATTTGGCGATGGCCTTTCTATTGAGTTAGATATTTCTGATAATGGTTACAGGCATTAGTGACTCTTTTTAACTACAGATCGCCATGAGCATTGTGATTCGAATAAATACTTGTACAAGTCCAGATGGATGCTCAAATATATGTGTATATGTATAGAGCAACACAGGGATGAAATATAAATCGTGATAAGTATCTTTGATAAGGGCTACTTAATGGTGTATTTAATTGTAACCTGTGTGAGTTCGGGTGAAGATTTGTTAGGGTGTGCCAACATATCATATTATTGCAGGAAGAAAGACGTTAACCAACCAGAAGTGTAGATTACAACTGCCAATACATATCCCGCTATTTAGCACCACCCGCACATGGCTCCGTTAATTTTGCTTGCCTAACGCACACCTTAGTTACATTCACACATATGATGACCACAGGGGTTACTTCATCCATGAGTGTTCCATATAAGCGTTTAATTGCTTAACCTGAACAAGATGTGTTTAGTGTATAAATGCTCACTTGGATGCCGTTATTAAAAGGCTTTGTTGAGAAATATATGTTTTAAATATCTAATCGATTTTAAGTATGCTATTTGGCTAAACAGCCGTTTTAAGATGCACTTTGGTGGCTAAAAATATTCATGAAAACAAAATAAAACAATAACTATTAATAAACAATTGCGATTTCATTTATTGTATTCTGTAATACTTTTAGATTGCCGCCTGAACTACGTGAGGTGGGCTTCCTTTCTCGGTTGTGGCTTTGAGTTAGATGAAGATAGGGAGGACAAAGGCCACTATATCAAGACAGTGGATAAGGCTTCACCTGCAAAGACAGCCGGTCTGAAAGCTGGTGATAAAATTATTGAAGTGAATTTTCATAACGTCGAATCTGACTCCCACCAAGAGGTCATCCGTAAGATACAAACTTGTTACGATATCAGCTTCTTAGTGATGGGTCCGATTACACACAAGTACCACAGACCACTGTTGAATAAAAGAGGTAAGTTTTATTGATTAGAACAGATAAATATCGTAAGTACACTCTGCCACACATGCAGTATTGCTATATCTTTGCAAACCCAAAAATTGTTTGTTAGCTTATCTTTCCTGTGTTATGTTGCGTTTATATTTTTTGTTGGGTAATGGTTTATAGTCTATCATCTATTTCTAACAATATGATTATTGGTGAGGCATGAATGATACTTGCAGAAATGGGAGTGATGTTGCCTAGATGAAGTTTTTTCGTTAATGTTGACATTTTTCAATAAAACTTTTCGCATTTGTACAAAGATTATGATTTTCAGTATTAACGTTTCAAAGTGATTCAACGTTAGTGGAAAGAAGTGAAAACAGGACTTGTTTTTACCTGTTTTGAGTTTAACTTTCTCTCAAACACCTTGGAATAAGCGAGTTATCCTGCTCTGTAAAAGCTTTGGTGACCAGCCCTGGAGATGTTTACCCAAAATTGATTATTTTTGACGTATAGAAGTACATTTTCCCCCAGATCCAATAATATCAAATATAACAACGTCATTATGTTTGTGATATGTAAATATGTCTTATCTATATATGATGCACAAATAAGTCAGTCATAGGCAAATACCGTATCAGTCGCATAACTGATTATATAATGTATACATGCCTGATGCATTCGATCGCAACTGCTGATTAGGGATTTACATCTATTGGCTTTGATGAACTGCAAAATGAATCAAAATACTATCCCCAATAGCTACGAAATTATACGTGAACTTGTATAAAATGCAATTGAAATGTTGTAGTATATACAGTACATACTAGGTATCTCATTCCTCTATTTCATTTCATATCATTCTTTCCATACAATGATCTTTGTGGGAGTGACCACTTCCCAATTTTTCTTAAGAATATTGGTACTCCTCTTGATGATCCTCTACCTTGATGGAATATGCACAAAGCAGATTGCGTCCAATTCCAACATGTGTATTGAAAAACTAACCACAGAAAATTTTACTAACCTCGACGACCCAATCAAAACTTTTACTGAAACACTCACTTCTATTGCCCAAAAAGACAATTCCAAAATCCGCTCCAAAACTTCGAAGTTCCTTTTATCTGAAGAATCTTTTAAAACACGCAGTTATCGGGCAGCTGCCCTAAGACGCTACTTGAATTGCCCAACTGCTTCAAACTACAGTGATTTTAAAATTTGGCGGACAAAGTCTCGGCGATGAATTAAAATTGACAAAAGAAACAGCTGGAGAGAATATGTATCAAAAATATCATCAAACACGTCCTCCAAAAAAGTATGGGATATGATTTGGAAAATAAGTGGGAAAAAGAAAAAGTCAGCATCCTCCCACCTCATTAATAAAAACATTTTTTTGTCTAGGTCTGAAATAGCTGATGCATTTGCAAAAAACATAGCTTAATTAAAACTCATCCCATTTAAACCACTCCCGAAAATTCCAGTCTTTAAAGGAGAAAAGAAACGGCTCAATTTCAAATCATCAAACAAAGAAAGTTATAATGAGCAATTTACCCTACCAGAACTTGTTGATTCGCTTCGAAAATCACAGGACTCTGCTTCAGGTCCTGATGATATTCCATATCAATTTCTCAAGTACTTACTGGACTCGTCACTAACATGCCTTCTTTACATATTCAACCAAGTTTACGCTTCCGGAAAGATTCACGATTCGTGGAAGAACTCGACAATTATACCTATCATGCTACTGACCCAAACAACTATCGTCCTATTTCTCTGACTAGATGAGTATGTAAAACTTTAGAACGAATGATAAACACAAGACTGGTTTGTTTTCTTGAGGCCAACGATATGATATCCCCTCTTCAAAGTGGTTTTAGAAACAGAAGAGGGACAAATGACCATCTCGACATCATGACATCATGACATTCATTCGAAAGGCTTTCGCCAAGAAGGAACACCTTGTCGCCGTGTTCTTTGATCTTGAGAAGGCCTATGATACTACATGGCAGTATGGTATCATGAAAGATCTTAACGACCTTGGCGTACGTGGAAACCTTCCCAATTTTATATCTAACTACCTATCAGATAGACACTTCAAAGTCCGTGTTGGTTTAACTTTTTCTGAAACGTCTAAACAGGAAATGGGAGTCCCACAGGGTGGAATCCTATCAGTCACCCTGTTTGGTCTTAAAATCAATGATATAGTCAAATGTCTTGGTCAATCAACAGAAGAGTCGTTATTTGTGAATGACGTCTTGATCTGTTGCAGATCTAAGAACATGCACACGATAGAACGACAACTTCAACAGAGTTTAAATAAACTACAAAATTGAGCAGACGAAAACGGCTTCAAATACATTTCTGTCAAAAACGAAAAGCACACAATGACCAAAATCTAACACTCGATGGCACTAAATTTCTCGGCCTCATTTTTGATTCGAAACTCTTTCATACCACATATAAAGTATCCGAAGGATAAGTGTTCCAAGGCGTTAAACATTATACGAGTCCTTTCTCATACTGATTGGGGAGCGGACCGTGAAATGCTTTTGCGCCTATACAGATCACTTATTCGAACAAAACTGGATTATGATTCTTTGGTATACGGGTCGGCGCGCAGTTTGTACCTGCAGATGCTAGACCCAATCCATAACCAAGGGCTACGTCTAGCCCTTGGAGCTTTTTCGAACAACACCTGTAAAAAGCCTGTACGTGGAAGCAAATGAATCATCCTTTTATGACAGAAGAAAAAACTTGCATTACAGTTTGCAGCTCAATTAAAATCAAATCCTAAAAATCCTGCTTTCGACCAAGTATTCAACCCAAAATACCAAAACATATTTACGCAAAACCAAAACTTCTGCCAACATTTGGTATCCTAATATCAAATTTCCTGCAAGAACTCAACATAAAGTTGACGGACATAGGTGAATTTAACATATCTGATGTTCCTCCGTGGACCATTCAAACACCTGATTTTATCTTTACATTACATGAGCGAGGGGAATCAAGTGTTATGCCCGAAGAACACAAATCCTCCTTTCGGGAATGCATTTCGAATTACCCTTCACATACACAACTTTACACCGATGGTTCCAAAGAAGGTGATAAAGTGGGAGCAGCCTGCTGTACTGCTAATTCTTGCACTTCAGTTCGACTACCAGACGGCGCCTCCTTTGTTTCTGCCGAAGCATGCGCCTTTGGTTTGGCCCTCGACCATATCGATGAATAACGCATTAAAAAGGCAATCATATGTTTAGACTCTCTGTCTGTCCTACAGAGTTTACAGTTACGATATCCTAAAAACACACTCATACAAAACCTTGCTCTTCGAATATGTCGTATCTTAAATAAGTCAAAAATAACTTTACTATGGATTCCGAGCCATGTCGGAATTAAAGGCAACGAATGTGCTGACAGGGAAGCAAAAATGCATTAAATCTCCAACAAAAAAATATCAAACTACCATACACAGATTTTAAACCTACTATTCAAAATTAATGGCAGCAACGCTGGTCACGAGAGACCACCAACAAACCTTTTAAGGTACAACCGAAACTTAAAACAATTATTCCCAATCGGAAAAATCGTAGAGAGGAAGTTGTCCTCGCTTGGATCCGTACTGGGCACACATATCCTACTCATTCGTACCTTTTAAAACGAGAAGATCTACCTTCATGCCACGCATGTGACACTCCATTTACAGTGGAACATTTTTTGATTAAATGTTCCGATTTTAAACACATTCGTGATATCTACTTTCGAGTCCCGGATATGAAAACTCTTTTCAGTTCCGTGGATTCGAAGGCATTATTTAAATATTTGAAAGACATCGGTCTATTCTATAGACTCTGATGTCTTTTAACCCACCTTACCCTTTTTGACGTTATATATAACTCATATTCCATATCATCTATCTCTTTTATTATTTTAACCTCCTTCTTTATTTTTAATTATCTACACAAACAATGCGAATGCTTTTAAAATGAACCAGTTTATCTGATTTTATCTCCGCTATTCGCATGTTTGTTAAAAAAATAAAAATAAAATAAAAATCATCATGGCCCTAAATGACCCCAGCCGTTGATGGGCCGTTAAACATAAACAAACAAACAAACAAACAAATATTTCCATACATTATATAGCACTTACCACTTAATATACTAAGAATTGCTCATTTGATAAGTTGCCCATAACCCAACCAATTTTCTTTTTCGTTTAATCCATATCCATGAATTTGTAACAGTAATCGGCATTTTGTGTAGAGCATGTAATAAAAATCGCAAACTTTTAAATGTCCCTTTTACTATAAGTTTATACACGAATATTCCGCCTAAGCCATCCCTGCAGGTCTGGAATTTTTTAAAGAGTACATCTCTTGTTACCAATTGTGTGTTATAAAATCGGCAACTAATGTGGGACTCTCTGCAGAATTCGCAATAAAATTCCTTAAACTATGGTGAAAAATATTTCCTACTAAATGTTAAGCATTATGGTAATAGTGAAAACTAGTTAATCCGATGTCATTATCATATCACCGGGTTGAATACAGATTCATTGTTTTCCGTATTTATTAAATACATAAGTTTGCATTACTAAAATAAGTGGGGATTATTGTGGGCGTAGACGTGGGGGTGGGGGCTTTTGGGCGGGTGAATTATAAGATATTCACTTTCAGACAAAAAGTTAATGAGAATGTTAAAACGAGTTTGAAGATTTAAGCTGGAGAAAATGTGTAAATATAATTTATCTCATAGATTCTGCAGATCAACCAAAACCTAAACTCGATGTTGACTGTAACCCTGAACTTAAAGATGAGTTTGCGACTAAACTCAAGTTTATGCCTGATTCTGAACCTGAACATGAGTTACAACCCGAACACGAGGATGTGCCTAAGACAAAACGTTTTGTAGGACATCTGTTACAGAAGCTAAATACAACCAGTACTCCGTTATTTAATATTGTTTAAAACATTCATATTTTAAGGTGTTTTACGCTCCTGCGTCTCTGTTTTTGTATAGTTGTTCGGA